CATTCTCAAAAGTCTTTGAAAAAGTTATGTATAATAGACTACTTGAACACTTAAATTCTAACAACATATTAGTCAAAGAGCAATTTGGATTTAGGAAAGACCTAACAACAGAGAAAGCAACCTATGAACTAACTAACGATATTTTAAGTGCTCTCAATGACAGATTAATTGCGGGAGGGATTTTCTGTGATCTAGCAAAAGCTTTCGATTGTGTTAATCATGATATCTTACTATCGAAATTAAATTTCTATGGAATAACTGGCAAAGCAAATGAATGAATGGATCATATCATACCTCAAAAACAGGTATCAAAGAGTGGAGATAAGTAAAAATTCCAGTTCTAATGCATATTCAAACTGGGGAATCATAAAACATGGTGTTCCACAGGGATCAATTTTGGGCCCCTTGCTTTTTCTTCTCTACATAAATGATCTATCAAAAACCATCAATAATAAATCTAAACCAATTCCATTTGCAGATGACACTAGTATAATATTTAAGAACTCTAAAATTGAAGACTTTAAAAATGATATAAATTTTGTATTTGAAGTTTTAATAGATGGTTCAACGCCAATAAACTCTCACTAAATTTTGATAAAACCCATTACATACCATTCTTAACTAAAAACAGCCACCAAATTGATCTGGTCTTCAGTTATGCCAACAGATTAATCTGTAAAGCACCTGATACAAAATTCCTTGAAATACATGTAGGCAGTACACTGTCTTGGAAAATACATATAGAACAAACTATACCTAAATTAAGTGCAGCTTGCTATGCAATGAGATCGATTAAGCCCTTTATGCGACAGGAAACACTGAAGATGGTTTACCATGCCTACTTTTATTCTATTATGAACTATGGATTAATATTCTGGGGAATCTCTTCACATAGTGTAAAAATTTTTAAGATACAAAAGAATATAATTAGAATCATTACAGGACGTAGAAGTAGAGATTCATGTAGATATTTATTTACGAAATTAAAAATTCTACCTCTTCAATCACAATATATACTATCACTTCTATTATTTGTTGTGTACAACAAAAATAAATTTGAATTAAATTCCAGTATCCATAACATGAATACTAGGCAAAAATATAACTTCCATCTACCTTCATCAAACTTATCACTATATCAAAAAGGAGTCTGGCATAAAAGTGTACAGTAGTCTCCCACAAAGTATCAAAAACTTGAGTAATGATACTAAACATTTTAAATCAGAGCTAAAGAAATATCTGCATGCTCATTCCTTCTACTCTGTAGACGAATACCTCAATGTAAATAGAGAATAATGTAGAATTAAACTATATTAGTTTAAGATAAAATTACTTGTACCAGTAGGTATTATTTTGACTTATTCTATATCCAGAGGTATTAACCTACTTAGGATCTATGGAATGCAAATAAATTCAATTCAATTCTTCCCCATTCGTGCTACATGCCCTGCCCATCTCATCCTCCTTGATGTGATCATTCTAATAATACGTGGAGAAAAGTACAAGTTATGAAGCTCCTTATAATGCAGTTTCCTCCAATGTCATGCCACTTCATCACTCTTTGATCCAAATATTCTCAACACCCTGCTCCCAAACAACCTCATTATACAGGATTATTCAAAAAGAATGAACCGATTTTATTATGCAACATTTTATTAAGGAAAGTAATACAAAACTCCAGCCAAGTCACAAGTATTCTACTCACAATCAACTTTTATTTCCTGTCTTACAAGTGTTCAATGTGGCCACCACCTGCAGCACGGGCAACATCAATGCGATAAGAAAATTCCTCCCAGACGCGTATCAGCATATCACGATGCACTGAGTTAATCACTGTTGTTATTCGATGTTTAAGGTCATCGTGGTTAGTGGGTAGCGGTGGAACATAAACGTGATCTTTTACATATCCCCACAAGAAGAAATCACACACAATGAGTTCTGGGGATCTCGCAGCCCCCTTCCAACCAATCCATTGCTGGGGCACTTTTCATTTAAAAAAGCTCGGACCATCAGGTGCCAATGGGGTGGCACTCCATCTTGTTGAAAAATGAAGTCATGCGAATCTGCTTGCAGTGAAGTGAAGAGCCAGTTTTGGAGCATATCGAGATAGGTTTGTCCTGTAACGGTGTTTCCTTCAAAGAAAAAGGGACCATAAAGCTTGTCCTCAGACACAGCACAGAAGACATTCACCTTAGGGGAATCTCTTTCGTGCTCAACTGTCTCATGGGGGTGCTCTGTTCTCCAAATACGCACATTGTGATGATTGACTGTGCCGCTCAAGTGAAAAGTCACTTCATCACTAAAAATTAAATGTGAAATGAAGGTTTCGTCTTCCATCATCTCCAGCATCAAATGGCAAAACTCCATCCACTTCCTTTTGTCATCATTGGTAAGTGCCTGAATGAGCTGCAGTCTGTATGGTTTCAAATGTAGACGTACTGTTAGCACATGCCAGACAGTGGATTTGGGGGTTGCAAGCTCACGGCTAGCTCGATTTGTCGACTTCCACGGGCTCCTCTCGAACGCAGCACGGATTCTCGCCACTTGTTCCTCCAAGATTCATGATCGTCCTGGACTTTTTCCTTTACTGAGACACCCACTCTCTTGAAACTGTCAAAACCACTGTTGAATGTTCTTAGGACAGGGAGGATTAATGCCGAATCACCTTCAAAAAGCACGCTGCACTGTGACAACCGAATTTGTTTTCGCGAACTCGAGAACGCAGAACGCCTTTTGCTGAGGAATCGCCATTCTGAGGGTAAACGAACAACTGAACGGTGCCGGAAGAACGACGCGACTTCAGCGCCCCTGTGGCAGCCATTCACAACTTAGATAACTCCTCTTTCAAATGGTCACTGACTCATTCCATGACGATGCTTGAGAACTGAAGCAATGCGTCATGAAATCGGTTCATTCTTTTTGGATAACCCTGTTTGTTCCTCCCTTAATGTGAGAGACCTCCTTTCACACACATACAGAACCACAGGCAAAATTATAGTTTTGTATATTCTAATTTTTATGTTTTTAGACAGCAGATGAGAAGACAGAAGGTTCTGGATTGAATGGTAGCAAGAATTACCTGAGTTCAGTCTCCTCTTAATTCCCTCCTGAATCAGGTTTTGATTTGTTATACTAGTTCCCAAATATCTGAACTGGGCCACACTTTCAAAACATCTGTTAGCTATATTTATATCATGATTTTTCCCTGCATTTTGGTGACATGACAGCAACATATACTTCAACATATACTTAGTTTCTCTGTATTTACTTCTACACCAACCTTCTTACCAGCATCAATTAAAGTTTGTGTGATTTTCTTTATGGTATCTATATTATCACCCAGTAGATTCACATCATCAGCACAGACCAACAGCTGATGTATCACATTTAATTTCAGTCCCAGCTGGTTTTCCTGGACCTTCCTAATGGCATATTCTAAAGGATAGTTGAAAAGCAGTGGCAATAAAGCATATCTTTGTTTTAGACCATTCTGGATTGGAAAATTATCAGACAAATATTTACCTATCTGGACTGTACTATGTTTTGTTTAAACACATTTTAATCAGCCTCTCTAGTTTCATGGGTACCACAATCTCTTATCAGAATATTGTACAATACTTCCCTTCTAACAGAATCATAGGCTTTCTTGAAGTCTATGAATAGGTGATGTACTGTCTGATTGTATTCGCATTTCAAGTGACTACTAATTCACAGATTAAAAATGTTACACATAATCATGCTTTAACACTGCAGAAAATAAACAGTAAAAGCAAGACTACACTCTGCATATGAGAACTAACCAAATTTTACACATCATTTATAATAAATTTATAAGTCTCTGAGATATTTTTACTTCACCATTAATATCAAGTAAGTATCTCCATTTAGGGTATAATTCTATCATGGGCATTTTAACAAATCATCATCTTAAAATTGTGATTACATCATTAAACCATACCAATTTATTGTAAATACAGGTCTTGGCATAGAGGGATTCAAGATGTCCAGCTCAGGCTGTAGGATATTACCAGGTACCAAGAACAGGTCACTGTTCGAAGGAGAGCAGTCTGCTGATGCTACTGACATATACATGAAAGTACCTGGTTTGAGTCTTGATCAGGGAACTGGCTGTGAACTTTTTATAGTCGCCCACCATTCCAACAAGTGTTAAAACTAAATAAATAATAACACAATATATTCTTACCTAGAGATGTTAAACTGTACACAGTTCTGTGATACTGCTGTGCATCAAGAAAACAACTGATGGTGTCTTAAATAGATTCTTACAATTTTATGTGTATTATTATATTCTTTCAGTTTTCAGTTTTAAATTATCTCATTTAAATACCTTGCATCATCATCATTCCTTGCAATTCTCATTCCTTTACCTCCACCACCAGCAGATGCTTTAATCATAACAGGGTAACTAATCTCCCTAGCAATCTGAACACAGTGATCTGCATCATTAACAATGCCATCAAAACCTGAATAAAAAAGAAACATAAAATAATATATAATCAAGACAGAAATTTATGATAAGTAGATTGAATAGTGAATGGGCTGACTGAATTATTTCTTAATGACCTAATTCCTTCTTGAAAAGCTAATAGTTGTTTAGCTAGTCAAGAAATTCCCATTTTTTTTGTACCAAACAGCTCATTATGTTCACTAGAGTCAGTCAATGGACCCTATTCCAAGTCCAATTAATTCAGCCCACACCCTCCCACACTATTTCCTTAATGTCTTCCAAGCAGTCTCTTCTTTTCAGATTTTCTGACCAAAATTTTTTATGAATTTTTTGTATCTCCTACATATGATACATTCCCTCTCCATCTTATCTTCCTTGATTTGATAATCCTAACGCTATCTAGTGAAGGTTCCATATCCTATGGTGTCTACCTGTATCTGGATTTACAGAACATATATTGAACAACTGAACAAGTACAAATTATGAAGCTTATCATTATGCAACTTTCTCCAGCTTTATATTACTCCTCCTTCCCTTGGTTCAAACATTCTTCCTAGCACTTTGTTCTTGAACATCCTTAATCTATGTTAATTTTAATGTGAGGGACCAAGTTTCACATCCATATGACCAAATTATTTCTAAAGATATAGAAGAATATTTCATCCAATTACATATGTACTTGCACATACATATATTAAATTCTATGGAACCAGAATTAGTCAGAATGACCGTAAGATGCTGACTAATTTGTAAAAACACAGTATAGTGCAACAGAAAAAAAAGTAATGTATGCAGAGGTTCAAATGCTTCAAATAGCTTCACAAATGTACATCAATACTGTCCAGTATATATGTATTCAAACTTTTGAGTAGATTATGAGTCACTTTTAGATAATAGGAATTTATCAACAGAGTAGAATAAGTATGTATTTAAGTGTTTTTTAGCTTTACTTTAAACTGTGCCTTTCCATTCATATGAATTTTGAGACAAAATTACATTTTTTTATTGAATTATGGGGCTGGATGAACAAGGGGTCGGAGGGTCACAGTGTGGGCAAGAATTTTCGCTTCTCTACTGTCCAGACAGGCTCTAGGGCGGGTGCCGGGGCCCTTTCCATTGGGGTAAAGTGGTCAGGGCGTAAAGCTTACCACTCACCTCCAATTAGTGCCAAGGTCAAAAAAAGTGGGTCAATACATCCATTCCCCCATACCTCTTCATGGTGTAGTGCTTGATTAGTTAAGCACAGGGACAACTTTACATTTTTATTGAATTATCAGCTAAATCATAGTTGTAACATAATTAAACCATAAGAATTCTTAGTACTGAATAAATTAAATACGTTAGAATAATAGTGATCGGATTTGAACCTGTTGTCATTCAGTGCTACAGTGTTTCTAGAGCTAATTACTTCTGTAATATCAGGAGGATCTTAATTTATAATAATGTTCCAATGACAACTGTCAGAACAACCAGTTTCCTATGAATTTAAATTATGTTAAATATTAAATATATGCATTGGGAGCTGTATACACAAGCACTACTAAAATGATTTTCACCTGGAATAGTATTCACCCCTGCAGCCTGAGCCAATCTTTTAGATTCCAATTTATCTCCCATTCCATTGATCGCTTCCACTGAAGGACCAATGAAAGAAATGCCTGCAGCTTCCTAAAAAAATACTTAATTTCAGTTGTATGTACATTTCTGTTTAGTAGAAATAAATTATATGTTTGAATTGTGAGAGATACAGTAGCAAGCATGTAGGAAAATGGTTTCTGTTTCTCAGACAAAATTATGATAAGAAATAGAAGTCTTAGTGATGATGGGGATTATTCCAAATGATAACTGATATGTTCATATAATTAAGGATAACATTAAAATGTGTGCAAACTGAATCATGAATTAAACAATTTCAGTTCTGAAAACTTACAGTGGTAACATGAAATTAAAATAATATATTTCATACATTTTTTTAAATGGAATCCTCAATACTGCTAGATCTGCAAGAGCCAAATAACTTCTAATTTACAAAGTTTTATGAAAATATTGCTACTGTTGGTTAATATTATTAAAATTTCACTTTCACTCAACAATGATAAAATTTTCATAAATCTGGAAGATAACAGAATGTACCTGCACAAATGTTATGACAGGGAATTAATTTAATTGTTTAATTGTGACTACCAAATTTCTGTTTTTCCAAGCCTTGATGCCTGCATATGTGGGGAAGTCATAAAATTGTAATTATCACCCAGAAGAAACAGAGACATAGGTGCAAGAAATTGTTAGTTAGTCCTCTACATATGGCCCTTGCAAGGCCACACATTTTCCCCAATGATGCATTAACTGCTGGATACCTTGACCATAGAAGGTCACATTTTTACTGTTTAGGAAGTCCTCCACTGCAGAAATGACATTATCATCTTGGAATCTTGGAATCGAAAAATATAGTTGAAAGTTGGTGGCGGCAAGTCTGCATGTTTCCACTGCTTGCTCATTTCCTTTGTTTCAGGGTCATAATGACAGACCTAACATTCATCCAGCGTGATCAGACAGTCGAAAATTCCACCTTTTCATCTTGCCACTGACGCTGATCATTCTGAGCCCTTATTTATTTGGATGATTATAGATGAACGTGAAATTTATTTCTAATTAATTCTCGGTAATTTTAATTTCAAAAGTCTTATGTTTCGATATTACTGGAAGTGTATCGTGATCTATAATATCGTATTTCATCGTCTGTGACGTGCAATACGGTGTTTATGTTGAAAATTTCTAGATTTTGGCAGAAACAAGAAGTCCGGAGATATAACATTTACGATCAGTCATAAATTTAGCTCGGGTACAGGGAACCGGACGCGCCTAAAAGGACAGGTCAGAGCTTGTTACAATTGCCTGTGAATGAGGACCAGTATGATTGGGTTGCCTCGTTCAAGCTTCCCACGAAAGATGGGATGAAAATGTATATGTCAACACCATCTTTCGAATTCCCGGCGTGGGGGTGCAAGCCACTCCACAAAAAAAGGAGACTTTCACAATATTCCGAACTGAACGGACGTGACCTTTGCACGCTCCGAGATATAGCTTGCCGATAGTAACGCTGTAACCTAAGAATACATTAATTTAACAGTGTGGTGAATTAGCAGGTGAATAAACGTCAATTGGCTCAACTCTCAGAAAAACGCTTTCTTAGGCATCGCTACCCTGAGACTCATGCAAACCGACCCAGCTAGTTTCCCGTACCTATACCGATCTTCCTTAGTTTGATCTGTGAGGACAACTTGCAGTGGCCATCATACACTGTCCTAAGGTAGAAACAGGTGTAGCAGGGATAGCACCATTCCGACTGCGCCGATACAAACAAAGGCGGGTTGGAAAAGAGCGATGTTACCACATCCATTCGTTGTTGTTTTTGAACTGGTGTCAACAATCATGGCACCCAACACACAGCATCCTTTGTCATGCGTAACGCATCATGGATGATGTTGCAAACTGCCCCATAACTAATGTGGACATCGTGAACAATAGCTTCGATAGTTATGTGCCTATCAGATAGGATCAAAGCTTCCACTTGTGTCACAATTCCCAGTTCCTCAGTGAGAGATGGTCTTCCACTTCGGGGTTCATCTTCTAGCTTTTGCCCACAATGAAAGCGCCTCTTCCACCTGACCACTGTGTCGTATGATGGTACACCTTCCTGATACATAACGGCCTTCTGGTTGTGGATCTCCCTGGCAGATTTCTCTTGCAACTGCAGGAACCGCATCACAGCGCGAGTCTCCACCTTCTCAACTGATATCATTTTGCTTCTGCCCCTTCCACTGGCTCCCTGTGTCTACTTCAAACAGGAAAATTTGACTGTTTGGCAAGTTCACGAAGTGAGCTATCTCCTGTATGGAATGATATTTTTGGATTATGATTTTCTCATGTTGATAAATAAAACAATGTGACTTCCCATCATACTTGTTCCTCACATTGCTGATGGGATCACATTAGCACAATAGACTGACAGCCACATGGGTGTCATACATGAGTAATTCAGTTTCATTGCAAGCCGATTCATGTATAATGTTGGAGTGAAATATATTACTTTGTGAAGGATTCTTATATATAATATTTTTGTAAAGCATCTGCCAGAGAGTAAATGTCATCAGATATCTTCTGGTTTCACAGCAGTATGTAAGAGAATACTAATGGAAATATTCTTTACAAGAGGCTTGGTCATGGACAAAAAAAAGTTGTAAAAATTACATGACAGAAATTGGATGATACTTGCATTTCATTACATGCCCCAGGATCATTATATTGTGGGTCTAGAAATATTGTATGAAAATATGAAATCTGCTAAGAAATAAGAATTACTTGAATGAATTTCCACATAAGAATGTGACTTAAGTTTCATGAAAGATGAAAGTAGCAATCCTTGAGAAAGAACTACTGACATTATTAATGAAGTCTGTTGCCTCTACATTGATAAACTAAGTAAAAAATAACACAACACAATGAGTATCCAAACCAGCAGCATCATTCTTCATGAAATGTTTAGGATTGAGTTTATATTTTTTGTTTCTTAAGTTTAACACACCATGTTTTACTAAAATGCTGAGAGATAAGTGCCCTGACATAATGCACATTTGTAATTGGACTGTCAGAAATTTTATTAAATCTGAAGTGAAATACTGATTTCCTAAAACTACATGTATATATATATATATATACTAAGAACATATTTTATAATGGTGCACGTGGTTGAGGCACTAGGTTACAAGCCTGAAGGTCGTGGGTTCATTTCCCAATGAGGTCATTGGATTTTTCAATTGACCTAACTCTTCTAGCCGCACTACGGCCCTGGCGTCGACTCAGCCTGACAACCTCATTGCCATCTATGAACTGACTGTCTAAAAATGTGTGAGCCTCAGTGTCTCACAACCTTATCGGCCTCCATGGTCTGTTAGAGGGATAATTTTTTAAATATATTTTGTAATAAATTTATAGCAAGAACTTACCAACTTTTCAACAAAAACTGCATTTTCAGAAAGGAATCCATATCCAGGATGAACGGCTTGAGAACCTGTTTTTGTAACGGCTAGCATGATGTGATCAATGTTGAGGTATGAGTCTTTGGTTGCTGCAGGTCCTATGCAGACTGCTTCATCAGCCATTCGCACATGACGCTGTTGGCAAAAATAAATAAATCTTATAAAAAGAGTAAATTTATGTCCATTGATTAGGGAAGTTATATGTGATTGCCATTTGCAATCTGGTTGCAGAGGGCATGAAAATTTTGATTTTTACATTAGGCAATAAAGGTTCAAAGTAATCACATATTACATTTTGATTCCAAGGACATCAATATCAATAAAATAAAGGAGTGTGAAGTAACTTTGATAAATGCATTATGTATTATAATTTTTGGCACGGTTAAATATATTTTCACATGTATGAGTCATTATAGATGGGGTTTGGATTGGTGAATCTATTTATTGACTACTTATGCACACAACTCGTAATTTCAAGTAACTATAACAACCTCACTGGTTTACACTCTACAGGTCACTGTAACTGCTGCACATATAAAGTCTTCTATGACTTGACTAGTCGTTTTCTGGTAACAAATCCTAACATTGTCTTCTGCTAATGTCCTTTCATCCAGATGACTGAATACCTTCTTTTCACTTGCATCTTCCACCAACTTGTACCACTGCTCTCCTGGTCTTGTTTTCGGTGACCCAAAAGTCTCTGCCTTCATCCAAACGAGGGGCCAGAAACAGGAAATTTTTGCTGTATTTCAGAAAGTATATTATTTATATATGTACCAGGTTATACCAGGAAGACAGCATAGCTTTGTTTTATATTCTACTTGCCACAAGAATCAGACTATGCAACGAAACTTTTCTTCTCAAAATATTATTAAATATTAAATATTAGCATCCTGTTGTATTACTTGAGCACTTGATATACTTGTATATGTAGAAAACAAGCTTCTAAGAGGAACACTTCCATAATTGTCAGATAGAAAACTACATAGTACATGCTTTCATACATATTCATGACATGTTTTGGCCACATGGGGCCATTATCAGGTATAAATGCTGATTCGTATAAATTCCTAAACTGTATTGAATATTACACAGACACAGAAAACATGCAAGTTTAAAAGTTTGTTTTCTATAAAATGCAGTTGTATTTCTTGTTAAAATAATTTGAAAGAATTTTAAAATTATGTGTAGAGTGTTCTTTGTTCTTTCTTATTGTACCAGTCTCTGCTGCTGTGGCTATGATATGTATATTTTTGGATGTTTGGTTTCATATATTATTGTGGATGGTGTGTTGTAAGAGCAATGTCCTGACCAACAAGATATGAAAGCGTTGCATTTACAAGGCAGTATTACACATACATATCGAGTTCTCTCCTCGGGTTTGACAGTATCTTGGTAAGCATGAATGCAGGAAATTACCTCAGATTGTCCATGGTAGCTTCATCTTCTGACCACATTGCCATTTGAGTTTCACTGCCATCTCAAATTCCTAAATTGTATGTCCAAATTTGTGTGCATTTAGATACCATATTAGTATTCAGATGAGGTATTTTGTAGGGTCTACTGGGGACTGAAGATGATGCAGTATGTATGATAAAATCCATTTTATGTTTTAATTTGTTCACAGGCAGATCCAGTTCTTAGAAAGTGAAGAGCCATGTTCTCCTTGGCTTTCATTTTCTTAGTATCAGTACCAAGTACACCTCTAATCAATCACATACATCACATGTGCCTAAGTTCCATTCAAAAAGTGAAGACATGAAAACTACTTATTGAAGCACTGATATAGTGGATGTGCGAAGCTCCTCTGCATTATCTATCACATTATCAACATACAGGGGATGGACAAAAATATGGAAACACCCAACAAAAAAACACATTACCGTGACTAATATGGAGTAGGACCACCTCTGGCTTGCAGAACTGCTTGCAGTCTCCTTGGAATGGATAAATAGAGGTCCTGTATGATTTGCAAGGGAGTCTTGTACCATTCTTCCTGCAAAACATTGGCGAGTTCTGTTAACGATGATGGAGGTGGATAGCGTGCACGCAGATTGTTCTCCAAAACAGACCATAAAGGCTCAATAATATTGATATCTGGTGATTGTGGGGGCCATGGCAGATGTGACACTTCATCTTAGTGCTCAGAAAACCAGTCTTGGACGATGTGACCTATGTGAACACAGGCATTGTCGTCTTGGTAAATGGCATCACCATTGGGGAACAAAGTTTGCACCATGGGATGGACCTGGTCGCCCAAAATGGTCACGTAGTCGTTGGCAGTGAAGTGGCCTTGCAGGGTAATGATGGGTCTGACAGAATACCACGATATGGCTGCTCATACCATGATTGAACCCCCACCATGTTTCACTTTTGGCAGCAAACAATCTGGATCATAAGCTTGGGATGGCGTTCTCCAGATGTAAACTCGGCCAGAAGTCAGAAACAGTGTGAAGGTGGACTCATCCGACCAAATGACCGTCTTTCATTGCTCCACAGTCCAGGTTTTATGACTTCGACACCACACTCTCCTCTTAGTGGCATTTTGATCACTCATGAGTGGCTTTGGAATTGCAGCTCATCCAGAAATACCCTGCTTGTGGCATTGCCTTCATAATGTTTTGGTGCTGACAGGGTTTGTGAGCGTGACATTCAGTTCAGCAGTGACTTTTGCAGATGTAGTCTTCTTATTTTTCGCCACAATCCTATGCAATGTCCGTCTGTCTCGATCACACAACACACATTTCTGTCCACGCTGGTATTTATCGGATGCAGTTTTTCCAGTCCTCCTGTGTGCGGTCATAATCTTGGATACTGTGCCTCGCGAAACACCAAAATCCTTGGCTACCTTGATTATGGAAGCACCCACCGTACAGGCCCCAACAATTTGCTGGCGTTCAAATTCTGTTAGCTCTGACGTGATGCACTAAAAACTGCACAGAACACTGTCTCGACAACAAATGAAGCTTGCAACATATTGCGGAGGTTGTACAGGTAGTGGTATTGGGCAGATACGACATCATCACCTACAAACGTCACTAAAATAAACACTTCAATTCAAGCATGCATTTCACGAGGTGTTTCCATATTTTTTCCACCCCATGTACATTTAAAAAATTGTCTCTATTATCAGTAGCAGAGAGAAACATTCCCTGAATGGGTTATGCTGTCTTATATAGCATGATTTACATTTTGTGCAAGATGTAGTGAAATTCTTAAGTTGATGTATCTTAAACTTCTGGGGAAGAGTCTATTAGATCGTTTTGTCTTCTGATGGTGTTCCATGCTGATTAATTTATTTGCAAATATATTCTAGTCTGTTATTCAACAAATATCGTTGATTCACCATCTTATATGAAACATGTCCTTCTGAAACTTGCTTTAAAATTTCTTACATACACACAATGCATCTCTTAAATCTTATTTAAAAGCTTCTGTACATTGCAATACATGTTTAGATCAACATTAGTAATTATCAGGTGTCTAAGACTTTTGGTGTGTTGGTGAAAACTGCTGTGCTTCCATTTTGTGATTCTAATATCTGATGTGTAGTCCCACCTATGCGCTCATGTATTTCATGGTGCTGGGTGTCTCTTTCTGTTGTGTTGTGTGTCTAGACACACTTGTAATCTCTTCCCGTTGTGTTGTATGTCTAGACACTCTCGTAGTGATGCCATTCATGTAGGTCAGAAGATGGTGGCTGTTCTAATGGTTCTACTTCAATAATGGTCACTGCCTTTTCATCTGGAAATATAATTGCGATTTTATAGTGTTTCTCTTGACCACTTACTCTCTTTAAATAATAAGATTCATAATAATTATTTATACCAATAACACACTCAGATATACCTTCAGAGACGTCTTCATCTGAAGAAAAATGCAGCTGACTTGAGGTGCTCAAAATCTTCTGTGTCCTTATGAAAATTCGCTCATCAATATGCTAGCAACATGCTTACTGCAAATATTTTTATATACATGCCACTGGTCCCCATTAACTCACAGATGGTGGGTGGAAAACCATATTTTTTTAAACCCGTAGACCCATATGCATATTACAATTTCATTCCCTCACTTCTAAAAATTTATATTTGGATCTGAAAACTTATGATGTTCTTACTGCGTTATTATCTGCAATAGAATAAACTGCAACAGTCTTGATGCCCATTTCTTTTGCTGTTCTTATCACCCTGCAGGCAATTTCTCCTCTATTGGCGACGAGAATCTTGTCAAAGCGACTCTCGTTTGGATTGAATGGATCATTACGAAATGATGAAAGGTACAGACTTGAGACTGAAATTGATCTATAGATTCCATAAGATACATTCTGAAAAAAGAAGAAAATAATTACAAGTTTAGACAAATGCCAAAGTGTTAATCATGTAGAAATTATTAAATTCAGGTAAATTGATGAACAATAAATGTCAACACATTTTATATTTTTAGGCATTTAAATTACACTTTCACATAACTTCAACTGTAATATAAATAATATACATTGTATTTACTCAGTCATGAATAAATTTGCATTTATAAAATCACACAAACAATGGATTATACACATACAAACATAAAGGGAGAAGACTCATTTGATGTCCAAAACTATGGCAGAGGGATGCACCTAATCAGTAGAAGAACAGACAGGCATGTAGGTCAAACCTTGATGAAGGCTGATAATGAAAATCATGCTTGAAAGTTTAAGTAACACAATGTATATATGTGCTGTGATGGTAAACCTAAATATCACCTGTGGATGGGGGTGTGCAGTTGGCAACAGATTCAACCTACATAACCTCAAGACAGGGCCATAGATGAACCAGGCTGGTTCAGGGCAGTATTCTAGTTTCTTTTAAGTTCCTTTGCACCACCTTCTTTATCTATCTATCCACGGTGTCACTTTGCACTTCTTTTAGAGGCACTGATGTGGAACTCACAGTTCATAAACCTTGTTCAATTTTTTAGCTCTGATGTGGAAGCAGGAGTGGCAGAGCCATTTGATTTGGGGGTGGGGGGTGTGGACATGATCTACAGAACATGGCAAGAGCTCGAATATCATCTGGACATTCTCCGTGCTACCAAGGGAGCACACATCGAGGTCTACTGAGGTCAGTAAAAAACTTCCAGAGTTTCACTGTGATCTGCCACAAACTGCATATGGCTAGATAAATTTCTTTGCACGCCACAATTTTTCAAAAACCCGAAAGGACTTTGTGGACACACTGTATTATTAGAATTGTTAATTTTGTATTTTCAAGGATCATACGAATTTTCCATGAAAAAGAAACATAAAATTATAACAATGAATTATATTATTTAATAGGTAACTATGGGACTGTTAACAGAGAATCAGTTATTATGAATACAGAAATATAAAACCTGTTCACTTGTTAGTAGTAAATGGATGTATTTCAGAGGATACATCTTTGATTCATCTTATCGTATATTATCCTGTTGGCAATAAAAACATACTTCACTCTTCCTCAATCAATAATCCAGGGGTACCTAAGAATTCACATATATTGGTGAAGGCAATGTCAATGCTGCAATGTACTGTACATAGTAAACTTTTCAGAAGAGTTAATGTTGTCATTATTAGCCTATCTCATTTTCCAACTACCCCCTTCCCCATTATAAACAAATTTTGATGTTTTTGTGTCTTCGTGATAATCACTGATAATATTTAAAGTGCTACAAGATCGAAGGTCGCGGGTTCAAGTCCCATTGAGGTCACTGGATTTTTTCAATTGACCTAATCCTTCCAGCCGCACTATGGCCCTGGGGTCGATTCAGCCTCTAACAGAAATAAGTACCAGGAATTAATTAAATAATTTTCCTGGGGAGTAAAACATGGCTGACAGCCTTACCGCCATCTTTGAGCCGACTGTCTAGATAATGTGGGACCCTCAACATCTCACAACCGTATGGGCCTTCACGGCCTGTTACAGGGATAACTTTACTTACTTTTTACTTATAATTTTAATTAATTGACACTCTAGAGCATACTATTCAATACAGCATAACACTAGATTAAGAGTCCAGCGTTATTATGTAATATTATAAATTATTCAGATGACTTTCATTGCACCAACTCCAGTAAAGTTCAGGACTGGAAACACACTTGACACACCCAGTACTGATATAAGTCACTGTGTAACTGTTCTTCTGTTTCTGAGAAAGATTTACTGCCAAGATAACAAGACCAAAGTGGTGCAAAATATCCATTTGCAGATGAAGGTGAATGATAGCAATTTGATTTAGAGAATGGATGTCAGTGAAATGAGTTTGCAACGAAAGGTGTCTGCTACAATGTTGCTCCCCTTGCAGTAGATGTAGAAAATTTAGGTTTCTTAGCTACAGCAAAGCAATCATTTCCTTCTCAAGTTCGTTTTAATGGTGGTGACTAAGACAAATTAGAACTATAATGATGCTAAACCAAAATATCTCGATATGTCTCTGAATAAATGACTGCATAAATAACATTTCGTTGGTATTAATTTAAATTATATTTCTTTCTGGTAAGTACTGAAGCAGTTAACCCAATCTTAACAAGAGACGTGGGTTAGGAAATTAGCAACACAAATCCCAGAAAGAGACAAGTGACTCATGTTTATCTTCAAATGTGTTCATAATGAGGCAGAATGGAAGCTTTTATACTGATTTCAGTTATTACAGTGATTTACTACATTGCGGTATAAAATTTCAAGGTCTTGATGAAAGCTTGGTATACAACTTCACCATCAGTGAATAAACCATGAAGAATCTTGAAGGATTTCCAACATTTTGGCAAGAATTACATCTTCAGACTAACAGTCTTTGTCTCAAACTCATGTTATGACTGACAGTCAGTCACTTAAATCATCTTGGTGTCAAG